GACGCGTAGCCAAACCTAAGACGAGAGGTGAAGGATAAGCTGCAGTTTGCAAGGTGAGAAGAAGAACTGCCTTGCCCCAGCTCTAGCAAGGGCTGAATATCCCAGAGACCAAGTGGGGAGCTTATTCAGGGGCTGCAAATACTTTGCTATAATTAGGTCTTACACGCCATGTGGAGTGGCCCAGACTTTCTCGTGGGAATAATGAATCATTGGAGTGTTTTGATGGAGGAGTGACATGATCAGATTTGTGCTTTAAAAATATTACAACAAAGCTTGAGGAAAGTGTTGGAGGAAAGAGAGACCAAGAACCCATGGAAGTCACTACAGTATCTCAGTGAGAGGTGATGGTGGCTGAACTAAGGCCGAGGCGATGAAAGCAGAGGGAAGGAGTTGCATTCTTGAGAGATTTGAAGCTAGAATGAACCAAGGTTGGTGATTGATCAGATATAGAAGTAATCAACTAATCAAGGATGGCCAGTTTCTGGCTCAGGTGGCTGGGTAGGTTTCTTGCTCTAGAGGCAGCTTTAAAAAGAGAAGAGCATTTGCCAGTTTAAGGAGAGTTCTGGTGGCTGAGGAGCCCGAGTCCAAACTCCTTAAGTCCAAAAGTCCATTTGGCCTCACACTACACTCTCAGGGTAGGCAGGTCACCTTTGGGAGCTTAATGGTGTCTAATATCTGGCCAGAGTCTGTACCCACACTGGCCGTTATCATTTATTCATTCATCCCATCGACCAGTATTTATTAAATATCAATTATGTAATCATAGCATCCCAGTATTTTATAGATCCCAGTGTCCAACTCTGCTTAGTTCTTCTCTTTCTCTCTCTCCTTTTTATCACTGTTTATTTTTTCAGCTTTATTGAGATATAACTGACAAATAATATTGTAACATATCTAAAGTCTACATCATGATGATTTGATATACATGTTCACTGTGAAATGATTCTCTCATCTAGTTAACACATTCATCATCTCAAATATTTCTTTTTTTTCTTTTTGTGAGAACATTAAAATTCTACACACATAACAAATTTCAACCAGGCAAAGCAGTGTTATCAACTATAGTCACTGTGTCACACATTAGATCCTCAAAACTTGTTCATCTTAAAACTGAAAGTTTCTGTACTTAGACCAACCTCTCCCTGTTTCCCCCACCACTCTGCCCCTGGAAACCACTTCCCTACTCTCCATTTCTATAAGTTCTACTTTTTTTTTTTTTCAGGGTTTCACATGTACATGATACCATGCAGTATTTGTCTTTCTCTGTCTGGCTTATTTCACTTAGCCTAATGCCTTCTAGGTCCATCCATGTTATTGCAAATGGCAGGATTTCCTTCTTCCTCATGGCTGAATAATATTCCATGTATATATATACACACACATATCACACCTTTACCTATTCATCTATTGACAAGACTCTTGGCTCTTGTGAATAGTGGGTCTATGAACATGACAAATGTATCTTTGAAAGAGTGCTTCTCAAAGACAGAATTACAACTATGAGTTTTCAACAGTCTTTCCCACTCTCACCACCCCACCTTATCACACATTTTATTGTTCGAGCTGCCTTGTGGTTGCATTTCTTATTCCTAGGGTTGCATTAATTTTTTTCTCTTTTAGTTTCTTTTTCATGGACTTAGTCTTTGATGAAATTTTGACTTGGATAGAGGTTAAACATTTTATAGAAAACTCTGAATATGTTGTTTTATGTGGCCAGAAGGCCTGGAAAATATTTTCTAGCTGCTAGAGTTTAATGAGCAACTCTGGGGTTTCCTGTGACGGATGTGTCGGTGTTAGAGTTTCAGTAACAGATGTGATGGATCAGTTTTCCTCGAAATACGTGTGTTTGATGCAATTTCATTTCTCATTTTATGCTTGGCTTTCCCAAGCTGAGGTGTGAGATTCAAGCATCAAAGAAACCGGCAGAGTTTTCGAGTTGAAGTTAATGAAACACTCAACACGAATTTTTGAAGTTTGGATTAATAAATAAAATGTATGGTTGTGAATGCCTAACTTCACTCATCCAGAAGACACCATCTTGCAAATCTGCTTCCTGGGGTCCAGTGGGTGTCTAAGCCACTGGGCCAAGAGGGATGGGGCATCTACTTTGAAAACCCCTCTCCAAGGGTTCAGTGAAGCTCTAGTTTTGTCAAACAAAGCTATTAGAATCTCCAGCTCACCTCTCAAGGGTACCGCAGGGATTGCTATAATGTTTTTGAATGACCAATCTGTTGTAAATTAATGTTGCTTTTCGTGATAACTACCATGAATTACAAATAGAATAAACACAAAATTGTAAAAGAAGACATCTAAATCATTAAGAGTGGGAGAGGGAAGCAAGGAAAGCCACCAAGGAAAAGCAAGGAAAACAGTGTGGAGATTTCTCAAAAGACTAGGAATAGACTTACCATATGACCCAGGAATCCTGCTCCTGGGCATATATCCAGAGGGAACCCTACTTCAGGATGACACCTGCACCCCAGTGTCCATAGCAGCACTAGTTACAATAGCCAAGACATGGAAACAGCCTAAATGTCCATCAACA